ACCTTGCTGTGCAGGCCAGCTGCTCATTTATAAAATTGATTATGCATTCTCTAAAGCCATCTCTAGGGAGCAGTTAAATTGCATCCATTGCCACCAAAGTCTTTGATATCCCTGTGGCTGAAGAATATTATAATAACAAGGAATAAAAGGAAGAGAGGCTATGTTCTGATTTTTGATGTTTGTCAGATTTCGCTTGCCTCAAAATGTTTCAGGAGAATGTGTTTCTGGCATAAAAGCTGCCCTTAACCTCACAGCAGGAGCACCCCAAGATGTCTTGGAAATTGAAGGCTACTTTTATTGTAAAAAAAGGTAAGAATTTATCTGCTTTAATTTTTTTCCCCATAATAATCAGGTGTGTTGTTCAGATAATAGCATATTGACTCCTTGATTCTGTTGCTTTAATCAGACTTCTCCATTATCTCTGTGAAGAGTAAAAGAGAGAGAGAAAGGACCATTGGTGATGACAACACTGCATGAAAAGATCTAGCAGTTTAGTATTCATTCTATATATCAAATAGCTGGCCATAAAATTGGCTGAACTTTGACTTTTCTGTAATTTTCTGGCACACATTTTTTCCTGAAACTAATACTTAATGAACTGTTCACCCTCCCCTCAATAAAAGCTTCCCTACACCAGTGTAGATGAGCATCAGAATGTAAACCAGATACTGCTTACAAGTGGATCATGAAAAAACTGCAGAAAAATTAAAAGGCTGCAAGGGTTTTCCCATTTGCTAGTTTGAAATTCACTTAAACCTTGTATTTCACAGTGATTTTGTAATTAGACAAGTTATAGCTATAAACCTAATAATCCCTGAGTGACAGTCTGTGGCATATGTTGTTTATGCTTTTCAGAGTAATCTATAGTCTCTGGCTTTCAGGAACTGCTTTAGGTGGTATTTTCAGCTCAGAGGAGAGACAGGGCTGTGGAAGGATGCAGGATGTGGGAGCTGCCAGGGTCCAAGACAGCTGTTGGCATAGACACGAGTTTTGAAGGGGCAGATTGAACCCCTTGGGGGGAAGATCTGGTGCCACCGCCATGCTTAGCTAAGTGTCTCCCACACATTTCTGGATTAAGCACATCTGTGAGCCTCAAAATGGACATTTCCCCAGTTCAGTGGCCAGAACCAGAACTGGGTCTGCAGGGAGGCAATTTAGTTTGCTCCAAGGCCTTTCCCTGCAGCCCTAAAAGCCAAGGTCACAAGTGCTGGACAAGGGCTTTACTCTCTGCTCCTCTCTGTTGTGAAAATACAGACTTCATGGGGTTGGAAGAGGTACTCCAGGGACTGAAGTAAACACCTACATGTTGCTTGCGTTGCTTTTTTTATTTTGTCCCTCCACCCCTGCCCTAAGAACAGCCCTGACCACCTGCTTCTTTAAACCAGCACATCTGCAGCTCTTTCACAAGAGACAACTTCAGACTTGTGGGGTCAGATTGTGAAATGTGACCACTGCTGTGCACTGCACCCTGAGGAGATGCATGCACACTCCCTCAGACCTAAATGTTTCCTGTGTGCTCTCTTGTGCTGGTTTGGCCTCGATAGAGATAATTTTCACAGTAGCTGTGTTTTTTATTTGTGGTGAAAAGAGTGTTGATAACACAAGGATGTTTCAGTTATTGGTGAGAGGGTTTGCACTGAGGTAACGGCTTACCACCCAACAGTGATCAGGCTGGGAGTGCACAAGGACATGGAAGGGTTTTTTCCACAGTTCTCCTGATTAAATATTCTTGCTGTATTTAAACAAACAAACAAACAAAAAACCAAAAAAAAAACCCAAAAACCAAAACCAAAACCAAAACACCAAAACAAACAAACAAAAAACCCCCAAAAAACCCAAAAAACAAACAAACAGAAAAGGCATTTTATCCTAAGGTTTACAGAGCTTGACAAAGCCCCTGGTCCACCTCAAGCATTGAGGAAAGAGGGAAAGACAGAAAGTCTTTGTAAATCAGATGCATAGCACAAAAATGACTGCTCTTCAGTCTCAGATTTTAGACACCTGACCCTCTGGGTCCATAGCTTTGAGTTAATTGGTTCTCTCTAGCTCCATCATATTTCAAGGTTCTCTAATTATATTTAGCTAGCTCTAGGTCACTGCATTCTTTTCATTTCAGACTCCGGGCAACAGAGTAGTGGAAAGGATTTTTGAATGCACAGCGCTGTAGGTTTAGCTGAGTGAAGGTCTTTACGACTCTTGGGGGTAAGGGCTTAGTATGTGTTTTTCTGACTTTATAGGGGCTGTGACTTCCATGTCTTAATAGCATGGGCTTTCATAGCTACTGACTGCAGACTAAATTTTAGCAACTGGATTATCCTACTAACCCTTCTCTGTACTTTCTCTTTAGCGAATTGCACTTGCCAGTGCAAGGTTTTAAGATTTTAAAATATTTCAATATACTCCAGGTGTTTCTAATGCAATCTCATTTTTTTTTCAGCTGTCAGAGAATTAATCTGTCATGAGTTGGAAAAGTCTCTTGAAAATACATGCTTCTTCCCATTACAGCGTGGGCAAATACCAGCCTGTTCCTTTGAGAATTATTTTGAAGATTCATTGAAAGCTATGGGAGCTCAGTTATTAGAAAAATAGAGCAAAGTGTCTCATTGTTCTGTATTCTCTCATTTCTTTAGTCCTGATGCATTTCGGAACACAGTGTAGCAGCCTTTAGTGCCTTTAGTGTAGCAGACCTGCAAGAAACGGAGGGTGATGGAGGAGGAGATGAATACTGATGAAGTTGCATCAAAGACCTCTGTGTGTTGTAGTGTTAGTGGTGTGTGCACGTGTCATTGACTTGGGTATTTTCTGTGGTTATCTATATCATGTCCCTTGAGCTGTAAAGTTGTAATCCAGACCATATCAGTGAGGTTACGGTATTTTTGCATTTTTTAATGGCTGGAACAGGAGTTCAAGGAGGACTGAACAGTAGCTGCAGTGTGTGGTGGAGATAATCCTTTAAACAGTTTTTATATCAGGAGCTTATCAGAAAATTCTGGCCCTGGTGACAGTTCATACTCAGTGATCTCTAATGACCCTTGTGCTCCACACTGAGTAAGTGCAACTTATTGCAGATTTTCTCAGACCTATTTTTAGGGGGTAGATCTACCAAAAATCTTAAATATGGCTTTTGATCTCTCTATGGTCCTTTGCTAAGTTAAGCTTCCAGAGTGTGGAGCTGCTGGAAACACAGGGATCTAGGAGAACATTTACAGAAGTCAGCAGACCTAGTGTGCCTCTAAATTGAATATGCTGAAAAAGAAAAAAACCCACACCCCAAAACAACTCTCTCCCTCCCTGCTTTTCCACAAATTCCCCACATCACCAGGCTGAAGGCAGGCACATTCTTCTGATGGGAGTCTTCAGATCTGTGTCTCTGAGCAAGATTAATCTCTCCCTCATTTCACAAAAACTGCTAAACATCAAGAGAGGATTTGTACCCAAGTATCAAAACATCTTTGCATGCACAGTATTTGGATCTAAAAGGGAGAAAAAGAACTGATCCAGCTTTGACATGCAAATGCTGGCTGTCTAGAAAAAGAACCCCAAAACAACATTGCTATCCAGGATCAAAACTTCTGTGCCCAAATGTCTTCTGTGAGGAGTTTTGCCAGCTGTACACTACCAGCAATGTTAGGGCTCACAAGTCAGCAAGACATAAAAGTCCCAAGTGAAGAACTTCAGCTGAAATAAAAAAGAATGTGTTATGGTCACCTGGGAGTATCTACCTTGGAGCACTTTCTTACTGCTGGCCATGAGGTTTGTTAGGATAAGATGTGCCTACATGGCTAAATTTGGCATCTCCAGAATAGGGAAATGTTATGATCTGCCATTTAAAGAGGTCCTTGTGCACCAGTGTCCTTTGGGATCTTGTGAGAAGTCTTAATCAACTAAATCTTTTCAACAGCAAGTCTTTTAACTGTACTTCTAAACTGGAGAAACTGTAGGACTGTTCAAAGGCCCTGATCTCCTTCAAGGCTCCTTTCTTTAGCCTCATTTCTACTTCACTGCAGTGACACTTCAAACGAGGAAATCTGATCACCCTGTGCTGCTCAGTGTTTGGCAGTCACAGGTTTTCAAACAACATACTTCTATTATTTGGAGGCCAGGCATTACTGAGCAGATCGGATTTAGCTGCAGTAGCTTTTTCTAAAATAATTCTGCTAATAAATTAGTCTCAGCAGAATTGAACCAGACCTGTGTGCAATCCCATGCTGTGCTGTCTTCTGTTCCAACACACACTGGGGAAATTCAGTGGATGAGCTTTGGAATTACATCTCATCCATTCATGATTACTGGGAAATGATGGGGGAAAACACCTCAAAGGGTTTGTAAAAGGGAACAACTGTATTCTATCAGAAAATAATCGACACAACCCCAGGTACCTCCATTCCACTTAGGAAACAGAGCTGTAAATTGCCTTATGTGCTATAAACTCCTTCTTCAGTCAGGTACTAAGTCTTGCAAATCACAGCATTGTGCCAGTGTGCAGAGTGCTTAACAACACTGTGTAAGCTGCAGGTACCCAAAATCACATCTTTCTACCTGGTTTTGGATTTTCAAACAAGGTGCATCTGCAGGGAGCATTGGGCAGTCAAAGAAGTTCTTCATATAGGGGTATTCATACTTTATGTTACCCACAGGATCTCAAAACATTTATTTGTATTTTTTAAGGCATAATAATGTTCTCATAACAAAGTTCTCAGCTCATTTCAACATCTCCTTTCCCTTCTGCCCTCTAGGTTACCCCTTGCTTCAATTTCTTCTGATATGCAAAAGGTAAACAAAAGTGATGCAAAACTGTGAGTGAGGCTCATAGAGAGATAATCCCCAGAAATTAAAAAAAAAATAAAATCAAATTTGGTCTCCCTCTGCTGTGTGAAATAGAGTATTTTGAATTGTGTCTATTCCCAAAAGTAATGTTACTAGAGTTGGTCTTCCACTTGATTACAGAAGCAAATGAAGAAACACAACTTGTAAATATCAAATAAAATGAGACTGCTTGATACAAGTATTTTACATTTATTGGAAGAGTTCAGTAAAATGGGGACTGCAGACTCATTAGTGGTAAGTGATCCAAAGGAGAAGACAAAGGACTACTCAAAAAAGGTCTGCAGTTTACAAGAATACTGAAAATCTCTTACATAACATCCTAGGAAAATAAAAAGTTAGCTTGAATTGTAAAGTGTAACTTTAAGTACATAAAAAATTGGCAAATAAATAAAGTTAAAATGCAGATCTATTTAAAATTATAAAGGACCGAAAACTGGAAACTGTATAACATAGTTATAATTTTCAGACTTAATTAAAAGCCAGATAAACTCACAAAAGTTGTTTGGGTTTTTTTTTTAAATTTTATTTTATTTTACATGTACTTTAGGGAAGAAGGACCCATTTCCAGTGTTATGTATTATCGATCTGTTTCACAAATATATTATTTTTGAACAACAAAGAGCATAAAAGGTGCTTTACCTGGTATTGCTGGTGCGTATTTTGGCACAAAATTGAGAACTGGATACCTAAAGACATCTGCAAATGGCATCTGTGCCTACTCAAGGCTACTAGTGACAAAAGTTTGGCTTGTGATGGCAGGCCTGTGATGAGAATTTCCCTCCTTACCTAACACCCCTGTTCCATCTCCAGCTGCCAACAGTTACACAAAGGAAAAGCAACACATGCCATTTTAAAATCAGCAGTCCTACAACCCCAGCCCAAGTTTCATCCCTGGAAGTCCTTTAACAGAAGGTACAAGGCAGGTGTTTAATGCTGGCTTTCACTCCTCAGTATTTCTCTTTAGGAGTCTGCCTGCCTTTTGTGTCCTGTGTATGAACCTGTATCATGGGCTTTTTTCCTATTAAATGTTTTCAGCATTTTAGTCAAAATTAAGTGGGAAGCTTGGTGGAGAAACAAATTAACTTGTGATTTACAAGTAATGGTACAATTAACACTGGACACAGACATGTAAAAGGATGTTTCAATTGAGATGTTTCAATTGAGACATTTCAAAGATCAGCTCCCTGAACACAACAATGCTTATCTTCTGGAATTGCAGGTCTCAGCACTTCATAGTGGTGGGGGTGTATAATCATTTCTGTAAGTAAATGTCGTATGACGTAGTGAATTCAAATTCCTGAAAGCAAAATTATGAAAATTAACGCTGTCTGAAAAGGTCTTTTAAGAAGAAGGAAGTTCACAATAAGGCTTAGGTGGAATTAAGTAATTGCTGTTGATTTTGAAGGTACTGTTCCAATCTGGCCTGACATCAAAATGTCAAGGAGCATATTTAGCTTTTTAATTCTCCCTGTGTGGAGCAGGATGTTCTGTATTGTAAACCAGACAGTAACGAATGTGTTCCTCTGATGTCATTTATGATGTTGACAATTTGTGATATAGCTAGGGTCTGCAATTTCATTAAAAATGTGATTTGAACAATATGCTTCACACCTTGATTCATGGTTACTTCCATTTTTATACAAACACATTTCCCTACGTTTTAAAGTAGTAACATCACCACAGTACTTCTGAATTAAACAAAAGCAGGAATGTATTTGGACTTTTCTGTCACCAGAATAACTTCATTTGATAATGAAAGGGTGCCATTTGTGGTACATGGAGCCTTCAGAATTAGGAAATATTTGAGAGATGCAACAGTACAGATTATTACAGCAGAGCTCAGCAGGAAGTGTAAGATTACTGCAATCCCCTTTAGAGAGCAGAATGATTCTTTGAGAATTGAGGCAACAGCTTAGAGTTAATTGTTTACATATCAGTTATCCAAGAATTTTGCATTATTACTTGCATGTAACAACAATGGAATTCTTCATATGTTGAGAAAGACTGAGCTCATTGAAAAGAGTGCAGTGCATCTTTTTTTTTAGTAATGCCAATTCTGGCTCATACTTTCAACATCTGTAATGCAAAGAGAATCACTGATCTGATTTTTGTTTTAAAAAGTTTAATTGCCTTATATTGATAAGTTTCAATGGCTGGCTCACTTACTGTATTCACAAAACTCAAGTACTTATCTATAAACATTTGTGCTTCTAAAACTAGATGACAGAGCCAAATAGTAGCAATTCAAGATTTTTTTCCAAGTGTTCTCTGCTCAGTGTGAATCCTAGGTTAGCATACTGGTTCAGAGGCTGTATTTATCTATAAACAATAAATCAATTAAGTTGTATTTACAAGGCATTCCACTCTCGGAGACAGAGGAAGAAAGAATCTAGTTCATGGCTCTTCTATATTTTCAATTTTTGACCTCAGTCAACTAGATTTAAAGGTTTTATTTATCCATTTTTTCTAAGTACACCTAACAGTTTTTTGTGTGGAGAAGGCATATGGATCTGAGCTCTCTAAATGAACTACCCTTCCACAGCTACAATCTCAAACACCTGCAAAACAACAATGTAACTACTGAATTAATTAGCTGTGTAGCTCACACCCCTGCTCCCAAACAAACCATCTGAAAATTCTAATTTAAGTCCTGCCTAGATGATACCTGAGAAAATCGTGCTCTGAAATAGCCAATAATATACAACTGCCTGACAATGAAACAACTCTGAGTTAACACCCAAGTTCTATACCTCGACATGTATTCCAGCTGGAATTTTATATCAAAGAGAAGGGGACATAATAGTAACTTAGGGTTGTTGGTGGAGGCAGCATTCCCTGGCAGAGAACAGTAAATACATCTCTGAACCTTTCTGTTTTATAGAGTAGTCCTAAGGCTGAAAAACAGAAATTTCTTTTGCTTATGTGACAGAGACGCAAAATCAAGGCGGATTCTAAGGTCGAAATTTTGAAAGTTTAAAGTCAGGGGCTTCCAGCCCTGTTCTATATGGTACTTACTATAATGAACAATGACTCTGATAACTGGATGTGAAAATATGTAAAAATGTTGGAGCTACCAGGCAGATCTTGCTGGAATTTTCAATGAGAGAATCTTCGCTTCTTTGAAATTTCAGGTCTCAGCAAAGTAAAGCTGGGTATTAAAACCACACTAATAGGCAATTCTGCAATGCGTATAGGAGCTGGAAATCACAACTCAGTACCACTTTGAGGAAAGAAATGGTAGTAATACTTGACTGTTCATAATGTGACATGTGAATGGATTCTTCCATTTCAATTTGGAGCTTTCCACCTTTAAACTTTATTTGTTTATAATGGGAAGCTACCCCAGGGATAGTTACTCTTAGAAAACCTTGATAGGCTCCTGAGGTTGATTCACTTTCTTAGTAAGTTGTTGCTGGTTATTAAAGGCTGCTTTTTCTTTGTTTGTTTTGTTTTTCAGTAAATCTGCAGAAGGGAGCTGAAAAAAACCCATTTTTAATAGAGCTGGTATTTCAAATTGACCAGATGTCTTAAAAACTAATGGTTGTTTGGAACTTTAGGATTACTGGACTTGCCCTGTACTTGCCATGCACCTTTTAATTACTAATTGAAGTCCTGTATTACTGGAAGTGAAGGACGGCACGAAGACCATTCTAAGAAAAAAAATGCATAACTTCATTGGTAGCAGGGGTGTTCTTCCCTGACTTGCCCAGGAAGAAAGCTTCCAACAGTATCTGAAGTCCATTTTTGCTTTACAAGAAGAAAAAATTAATTGGCAAACTCTTCCTTTAATAGCAAAAATTTTATGCTTAGCCGTAAAAATGTTACAAATCCAAGTGTACTGGCACAAAGCAGTATTTCCGGTGCCAAAAAACAGGACAGCTGTTACAGAAAGTGGACTCTCTCAGCTTCTTTCTATTTAATCTTTATAATGAGTTATTATTTGTGACAATCAATTGTTCTCAGAACTGCTGAATATCATGTTTGATGACACTATTTACACACTAGCTTAGGTCAAAATATTGCACTCCCTCAAGTCTGTGAGTAGCACTGACATTTAGAGGATATGACAGCAAGAATACTGGAAACAGGGCTAGTATTTAATCACTGTTGTTAATATTTGTGCAGCAGCACATCTGAGAAAACTGGAGGGGAGACATTTGTAAATACTTCTGAGACTTGGTTACACTGTTACCTCAGAAAAATGTGGGGGATTTTTCTTCTTTTTTGTTTTCTTTATTACCTTTACAACAGGTGCAAAAACGGTAACAAAATAGTTATAAAGAGATAACAAATAGGTAACTTCACAGTCAATTTTAATGATATGCTTGTAGGATTTAAGTAAGCATAACAGGTGGTCAAAAACATTAATGAAAAAATACTTGAGTATGAATACCCTAGTATTTCCTTAACCAGTTTTCTCTTTCCTGTCAGTAAGAATGGGGTTTACCAGCTGCAGTTCTCACTGATGGCCTTCTGGTGATGCACTTCCCAACAGCAATTTCCAAAAAAAGTTTTAGGCAACTCTGCAAAAGGGCATATTTTTGTTATGAAGAAATGCAGTATAACTGTAGTTGATAAACTAAAAGCTAGTTCATTGGTTTTCTCAGAAACTAATGAAAATGCACATTTCAAAGATAATGCCTTCGTGGGATGCTAACTCTACATCACCACCCTTTGCTGAAGAAAGGTTTGTTTCCAGATAAGATACTTTTCACTATTTCACTTTTCATAAAATAAGGAAGCTTAGAAAACCTTATGACTTCACTGAGGACTGGACTTGAAAGCTAATACACGCTCATTTTCTACTAAAAACAAACTAAGGATGCACTTTTTGCCATCAAAGCAATTTTCTTAAAATAATGAATGCAATTCATAGGAAAAACCATGAAAATAAGAGATAACCTGTTGAATTCCCTCTCACATTACAAACTGAAGATAACAGTATTTAGAGTTTCCTACGTTTAACAATGTAAAATAATTCAGGATTCTCTCAGGGTCCCTCTGGTTGTGACAATGCCAGTTTAACAACCTAACCTGAAATCCATGCTTGCAAAAGAGACTGAAGCTTAACTTCTTTTTAAGTTCTCTTTTTAAGTTCTCTACGATAAACACAGTTCGTGAGCCAAACGACCTGGCTAACCTGGTACGATTAACCTGACAAGGTAAGTCATCAAAAGGCCATGGAGAGAAGATATTGCAGCTTTGCTTCTTTAGTGCCATGTCTCTCTTTTAAATTTCATGGCATGGCAGGCTTGGTTGTGAATGCTCCTGTGAGAGGCCTGCAGTATCTACAGGTAGGGATTCCACTTCCTAAATGGAACAGTTTCAACAATTACAAGTCAGACATGATGAACAAATTCTGCCACAAACTGTTAAATTAATGATACAAAAAGTTAAATAAATGAAAAGACATGTACCTGTGTTGAAATTTATTCTATACTTATAAAGCCATTCTGGTATTCTCCCAAAGTGTTACTAGTTTTCAGCTGAACTGGTGCCTAATTCAATAATAGTAACAAATTTTCCTAATGCTGTAGAAATCCCCTGTTTTAAAAAGATTTCAAATTTAAACAGAAGTGAGATATACGTGTATGGAGGTTTACTATTCCAGAATAAAATGTTAGTATTGTTTTTATCCTTCTGTGAGAGTCAGGATGGTGACTGGTTAATTTATGACAAATACAACAGTATTTTATTTTATGTGAATAAAGCAGTATTTCTTGCTGTCAAGATGGCATATGGCAAAGAAACAGTCCATCCCTCTAACAAAAGAATATTAATTCTCCACAAAAGCTGATAATGCTGACACTGTTATCCTTATGTGCAGACTTCAGGAATGCATATGTAAGGAAATGCAGTTGGATGGATTTTCCCAAATGATTGTGAAACATTTCTTAGATCTTAGTACACTTGCACTTGCATTAGCATACTAACAAATTAAGGCACAGACTCTTGTGTACTACTTAGAAGCATACAAGCTAACAAGAATGTTGCCTATTGCTCTTGAAAAATATCTCTGGGCTACTGAAGTACAGAACTAAGTAAATAGATCCAGTACACTTACAATGAAGTTTTAATTTATGCCACCAAGTTTTCCAAGCACTACACTTTAATGGGTATGTGTATATAAATGCTTCCTTGTCTCCAAGAAAAAAAATCACTTAACAAAATGCAAGAAGCACTTACCATTCCTTACAGCTGGATACTGACAGTACCACCTCAAATGCAGGTGATGTGATCCCACACAACCATCCATTGTTGTAGTTGGACACTAATTCCTATGTAACAGACAAATTCTTCTAGACTACACATATTTTGGTCACACATAGCCCTAAACCACCACTCAGCACTACTGTAAATATACTTTAGAGAGGAAAAGATGATGTGGACAATAGAAAAGCCACCCTACAGGAATAAAAATGTAATGTAGCCACTGAATTCACTACGTCTCAATCCCACTGTAACACTAAAACATAAGGCTAATTAACATTCCAGATGCTGTGTTACTTACAATCCCTGTTTCTCACTTGCATTAGCAGCAACTAGTATCCCTTGATCTGGATATTTTAGTAAATTCCTAGAAGTATTTTAAGCACCTTAATGCTGGAACTCAGACAGGGATACAGTAATTTGTTCCTATTTCTATTCAGAACCCTAGAAAATTCCAGCTGCAAAGAGGACCCAGAGTCAAAGTAACAAATGGTGCACTTCCTCCCTCCCCTATCTAGTAAGGTTTTATTCTTTCTGGCTTTTTTAATTTTTAATATATATTTATATGTATATATATACAAACACAAGGTTTATATTCTTGGTGCATTTAAACCTTGTTTATCCCCAGTCTTTTGGTATTTGATTGCAATAATGTAAGAAAAATAGAAGGTTAGTATTTCTACTCTGCTGTTCCCTGTCACAGGTTTTAAACATACTTCTTTCCTTTTGGTTGTTTTAACAACTTCGTGATGCCATACAGAAGTAGTATTTTCCTTTGGACACTATGTTTGAAATGTTCTTTTGTTCAGAATAAACTTTTGCATGCTCCAGCTGCATTCTGAGAATTTCTACCAATTTAAGGGAAAAAATCAGGATCTAAAGCAAATCTAGCAATATATTCTTTAGTGCCTCTAAGATCAATGATATTTGTCATCTGCTGCTAGCATTAATAAACCTCTTTTTCTTGTCCTGGTACTTTCACATATTTTTTGGAAGGCAGATAGTTTGCAGTATTTCTTAGCATGTGCTAAGAAATATACTTTATATTAGTCTTTTTTTTCTAAAATAAACATAGGTCACCATAAAAGAAACATGCTACTGAATTCTGATAGCATTGAAGGAGAAAAAAGGCATTCTTTAAGTAGATCACATAAAAAGTCAGAAGTATTTCTACTGTATGGTAATAAATGCACAAGTAATTCAACGTCCAAAAAATTCTGAATTTTTCCATTCAGTAAGCACGTTTGCATCTAGAATCTAACTGAGCTTCATGCTTAAAACCAAATATCACCTAAATATATCAGATGTAGAAAGAATTTTACAAAAGGTTCTAGTTGAAATACTTGTCAAAACTGTCTTCGGTATTAAGGCCAACATGTATGACAATCCCCACATTAACACGCTGACATACAGGACAGTGATAGCAGAGTGAGAGCACAGCTTAAAGTAGAATACCTCTGAAAAATGTCACTAGCACTTATTTGCTGTAAAACAGATAGAAGCCACAGTCCCTTAAATTTATAGTATGTGCTTTCCTATGTACATGTAACCTAAATTACAGTACTACCGTGACTGGATATATAGCATTTCGCGGTACATATCTTTAATGCAGGTGTAAACACCATTCAAGATGGTACACCAGTTAATTTCAAAGTAATCCTAGAAGAATATTGCAAATAATGCTATATAAATGCATAGTGTTTGACGGAAACAATTACTTCACTGGAAAATAAAGTCCCAGACATTGAGTTTGGCACTTCTTCATCACTATGTCACTTTCTTTTTGATTGAAGACAGCTCTTTCTGAATCTCACTGAATTTTGGCCGGTTTTCTGGCTTGTAGTCCCAACATCTCTGCATTATTTTATATATTTCTTCTGGACACTTTTGTGGTGCAGACATTCGGTAGCCTGATAGACAGAAAAGGTGGAGAAAACTTTTAGTACTGAAAAATGATGCATATTGACAAATCTAAAAAGATAAGAGCAAAGTTCAAGACCATTTCATTTATAAAGACCTTCAAGGCAATATGAGGAACATCTTCAATACACGTCCTGTACATGAAAGATAACTATGAAACTAATTAAAGCTTGGATAGAAGTGACATTTAAGTTAGGCATGCTGAACTGTCAGTTTGCTGCTCATCCCTAATAGCAACTCACACAGATTTCTTTCCTGTATCTTAGGAAGTAGCTACCTTCTGGTTTTCAGTTGTATTTCCTTACTTCCCTGCAGTGAGGAAACTGATGATAAAAATGAAGATGAGAGTAAACTTATTTGCTCTTTTTGAAGATGTATCCACTTTTATTCTCACATTTCTTCCCTTTTTTGTCTCCTTAAGGAAGTTCTTCCCCATTTGCACTTTAGTAATTAATTTTTCCTCCCTCTGTTTTCTTAACTTTTGCATCTTTCCATCTTATCTCAAATCTCTTTCTCTTCTGGTTTGCTTTGATAGGCAGTGCCTTCCACACCTCTCTGCTGCCATCAGCTGTAGCTATGATATTTTATTAAAAATCCTTTCCTAGGATTTTTTCCCTCCTGAGAGCTGAGGGCCTCAGGAAACAAATGTAAACAATAACTATCTGAACTATCTGCTGCTGTGGAATGCAACAGGTGCATCTGTCATTGGTCCATGTGGATTGTTTTCAATTGATGACCAATCACAGCCACCTGTGCTGAAGCTGTGAGCAGTCACAAGATTTTGTTATGCATTCTATTCTATTCTTGTTCTTTGTAGCCTTCTGATGATCTTTTTCTCTCTGTTATTTTAGTATAGTTTTAATGTAGTATTTCAGTATAATATATAACATAATAAATCAGCCTTCTGAAATGGAGTCAAGCCTTGTGTCTCCACACATGGGGTGTTCGCGTCAACAATCAGCCAAGGAGTTCTCTGACTTGACAATGAGCAGGAGAATGGACAATCAGTTAAGTAAATTAGCAGCTAATCATTCAAAAGTCACAGGTAAGTGGCTATTCATCCTGTGTCACACCTTCATGAAGGCTGTGGATGAGGGGCAGGTGGGCCCTCAGTGATGGTGACACAGCAGTGGGGCATCCTTGCTGGTGGCACCAAGCCGTGAGGGGGGCTGATACACCACAGGGTCGTGGCGCTGTCCAGAGGGTCCGGGACAGGCTGGAGAAAGGGGCTGACAGAAACCTCAGGCAGTTCAGCATGGGAAGAACCAAGTCCTGCAGCTGGGAACAGCCCCAGACACCAGCACGGGTGGGGAATGCTGCGCTGGGAAGTGGTTTGTCAGGAAAGGCCCTGGGGCTCCTGCTGGACACCAGCATGAGCTCTTCCAGCAAAGAATGCTAATGGCACACTGGACTGCACTAGAAGGAGCACTGCAGCAGGTTGAGAGAGATCATCTGCCCCCTCTTTTTAGTACTGGCTGAGGCCACATCTGGAGTGCTGGGTCTAGTGCTGGGCTCCCCACAACAAGACAGACACAGGCAAATGACAGGCAGTGCACAGTGCAGTCATGTGCATTGGACTCTACAGCTAAATGCAACTCTGTGACTCCAGACTCACTACACAGGTCTCTGTCTCTCCCTTTCTAAAGAATAGTGCCATCACACTGACCTCTTAAAACAGGTAACTCTATGAAATATTTTCACTTTTTTTGTACTGCATGCATCTACTCTAGGTACTGGATGAATGCATGTAAGTTCAAACAAATATGGCTTAGGCTCTAGGACTTGATTTGGCCTTTAAGGAGAAACTTTATTATCACCTACTTTTAAAACTATAACACCTAGTTTTATATCACCTAGTTTTAAAACTATAACAAACTGACAATGTGTGTAAATCAGCAAACCAGAGTTTTTTTGTTTGTCATTTGTTTTGTTTTAAATAATTTGGAAGTTTTACTAGCTTAGAACACATTTATTAATTATACAGTAGCACTATGTAGGGAAGGAACAGTTCTGAACTGCCACCAAAGACGATGAAAATAAATCAAACTCCTGAACTCCTACTCACAGTTATTTCCTATTTTAACCTTTCGATTATTTTATAAAAGAGAAATGCAGCTTGGAATGCTCAACTAGCTTACCATTCTCCACCACAATTGCTACATTTTTCTGTGAAATTATTTAATAAAGAAGATGGAATGACAGAGATTTTTTTCTGGCAGTTTAGAATATTTATAAATGCATTAGCATAATCTTAAATAATTTGTTCTGTTCAGGCTTCTGCTTTGCACAGCAGTAAACCCCTCCTTTCCATCTCACCTGTTAGTTCTGCAACAATGAAAGTCAGCATGCTGTAAGTCTTCCAACCTTTAAGTTACTGGTCAGTGTATTCCTTTTTTTTCAGAAGACCTACATATACCACTCTACTCCTCCTAAAGAGCTAGATTCAGTAATTTAGGAAACCTCATATTGCTTTTGCTGAAGTTGCTACAAAACTTTTATGCTATTTCTTGGCTATTTTACACTGAATCCTCACAATTTATCCAGCATTTCTTTCACTCCTTAGGAATAATTACCTTTCTCAACTTGCTCTCGTGCTTGTTGGTTGGTCATTCCAGGATATGGGCATACTCCTAAACTGAAGGTCTCCCACAAAAGGATTCCAAAACTCCATACATCACTCTCAGATGTGTATCTCCCTAAGAAAAGGAAAGCAAACCTTCAAATTAACATAGAGAGAAATTGGTGTTTGACATAATTATGGCCCAAATTTCCTGTAAAGGTAAAAGTGTTACACTGGCAAGCTTCAAGCAAAACAAAGCTGTAGCTACTAGTAAAACATTCTACGGATTTCAGTCTCCAGTATTTCAAAGAATGAACAAATTATATAAAGCAAATACTTTGAAGTTATCATAAGCTAACCTTAAGTTCTAGTTTTACACAGACCACTCCAGTCGGTCAGGCAAGTTAAGAATTTCTTTCCTTCTTAATGTACAAAAATATTTTTCTTTTAATATAAAAGGACAAAAAATGTCAGGGTTTTCCTACTAATTTACAACGGCTTTCAATTCCAATATTCTTTTAAAATTTACCTTGTCCAGTTCTCCATTTTAGCATGGCAGTGTTTATTCTGAGAGGAGCTACAACCAACACTGTTTCTAAGTGTGAAGAAGGCCTGGTTCTCATGCTTTGAGAAACTGATCTCTGAAAATCAAAGTAAGGCTGGATCCTGCAAAACTGACACACCCAATCAGTTTAAGAAAAAAGAAAAAACCAGGTCTGCTGGTTCAATTACCGCCAACTATGCTTCAGAGATAGCAAAATAGATAACTGATAGACAATTAAATTCCAAGCCTCTCTGTGGAATTATAGCTTTCTCTTACAGGGAGACATTTTTGAGCAGATATTTTTATTGTCCCTGATGGATTCACATTAGAAAATTAAGACTCCTAGCCTTTTGCAGCAGAATCGGTGAAAGTGTTACCTTAAAAATCCATTTTCAACTTCACTTTCAACATTTTTCATGACTGTTCTTTCTTGCATACTATTACTTTGTATTTACATGTCTTTATTCTTAAAAACAACACTTGTGAATGTATTGATTGTTTATCTCTAACCATCAAGCAAGCCAAACTAAGCCACTTCTGACTAGGAAAAAAAGGAAAATACATGTAAATTATAGTGACAGTTGATGACAGTGACAACTGTTCTGATGAAAGAAACTGTTCTGATTCAGAAATCTCAGTTTACTCCTAGACTAAGTATCACTTACAGCTGTGCTATGTTAGCTTGTGTGCCTCATAGTTGGCAATTATGGATATTCACTATGCTTTTTGGAGTAAGATTAGTTTTCTTGTCTGTGTATCAACTTCCCACAGTTGGGCATCCAGTAATTTAACACTTTTCACTGAAAGCATTCAGCAAATACAAGATAGATGATTAGCTGGTTTTTTTTTTTTTACAGAAAGCACAAGTTCTGTACAGTTAATTATATTTTATGCTATTATCTGAGGGAAAAAAAAAAAGATCAGTTTAGAAAAAAAAACCCAAGTCCTCCCCACGTTACTATTAACATCACAACTCAAAATACTGTAGGGAGAAAACATACATATTAAATGTATTTTAATTTTCAAAGATCAGGAAGCAAAAATACCCCATAATCACCCAAAATACGTGCTGGTTTTGGTGGGGTTAATTCTATTCACAGTGGCAGGTACAGGGCACTGTTTTGGATTTGTGCTGAACCCAGGGTTGATAATTCAGAGATAGTTTTGTTATTGCTTTGATTGCACAGAGCCAAGGCCTTCCCTGCTTTTCATACTGCCATGCTGGTGCGGAAGCTGGGGGTCCTTGAGAGGGAACACAGCCAGGACAGGTGACCCCAAACAGACCAAAGGGATATTCCAGACCATGTGACGTCAGGCTCAGTGTATAAAGTAGGAGGAAGAAGGAGGAAAGGGGAGACGTTTGGAGTGATGGTGTTTGCCTTCCTTCCCAATAATGGCGTAGAAAGGTTCTGAACAGCTCCCACAGAACCAAAGCTTCCATTTCTCAAAGACTCCAGTGGCATCTGAATTTTGCTTCTGACTTCTGACACAATTTGTGTCAGAACCACAACACTTGTCCTAGTCTGGTTTCTAGCCTTCACTACTTGTGTTTTTTCTTAAATTAACATACTTTAGTGACCACTCTTAATGCGTCATATGTTTGCCACATACAGTGACTTCAGCAAAGATGAAAAAAAGAACTTTTTTGTAGCTTCTTAATCACATTAGCATTCATGTAATGGCCAAATGACCCTATTTCTCATTTTCCTCCAACCTTTGAATCTTAATATTTAGGACTAACCCAGCCAGTGGTTACCAACTAGTTTTGAAATACTGCAGATTTAGTTTTATTTCATTTTGATATCTTAAAAACCTCCAATCTTATCTACACAATTCAATGCAATTCTTACAACCTTATTATTAGAATGGAAAACAATGAAACATAATCCAGTAAGTTCTACTAATATCTTTCAAGGGAGTGGAAAAAATTATCCTTCAAAAAAAAACACACAGAAATCTTTCATGACATTCTGAAAGTTGAATATTGACTGCTGAACATATTAACAAATTTGAGAGAGCTTATTTCCCAAATATTACAGAAATGACTTACAGCTGCTGGAACATGTATGTGCTTTAGGAAACACAAAGTAAGTCCATGTTAATAAACAACCCCCTCTTCTCCTGTACTGTGCAGAAAAAAACAGACTCAGCAGTACAAAGTGAAGGTGTTGTCACAAAAGCCTGTTTCCTGCTAAATGTAGCCAGCTGGACCACATATGGTTATAAGGATATCATCAACAACATCAAGGATATAAGGATAACATCGAAAACACTGTATGTATTTCCACAATAACAAAAACAAAAACCCGAAACACCTTTTATAGTGGATCAAACACCCAAAAGAGCAAAGCATTCGCCAGTGAATGTTGGCAACACTAACACCTCTTAGAATAATTGGTAATACAGGATCAAATACTAAACTGAATTTACTGTCAACCTTTTAAAGAGAAGGTCTGCATTACTGTGCTATGTCATTAACTGCTGCAGAAGTGCTAATGAGAGGAAGCATTGTTCTACCAATCATAATTCACAAACTTATGATTTCCAATGCATGGTTTCCAAAAAAAGGCTAAATTTACGGGACAGCAGAAATATTTCAAACAGAAATAGACATTTCAAATGAAGAATTAAAAAAATATTTTACTCTGTGTACTCAACTAAAGAACTGGTTTAGAGAAGTACATTCAAAACATGGCACAATTTATTAAATGTGCTGCTTCTCCACAGCCCACTTTACCTAGAAGAACTTATTTTTATAGTTTCATATAAGCAAAAAAAGCTAAGAGCAGCAGCTTCTATTTCTATTCTGGAACTATTACCCATGTAGTGTGGACCACTTCCCTCATGATAAATAATGAATTTTTATCCCCAATATAACAACCTAGTGATACACAAAAATGCAGGTAAAGAAAAACTGCTGTTAAAAAAAAAAACCCAAAATAAAACAATGACTGTATTTTTCACCAATGCAATGAATTATCTAACACAGTGTTCTAGTACCTTAACATTTTCCACTGTTTTCAATGAGGGGCCATAAATATGCAGAACTTGCCTTTCAATTTGCTAATGATCATAATTTAGATGACTGACGAGGCTGTCTACAAGAATGAGTCAGCAACAGAATCAAAGCACTCTGCTATTGCTGCATAATAGCAATTCTGATTTTGCTGCCCAATTGTTTTTCAGCAGCAAAACTGCATTTTTTACATAAATCAGACTGAAATATTAAAATTATTTTAAATATCATTAATTTGAACAGGGGGAAAAGAACTGTGTATAAATATATATACACTCAAATATTGTGGCTCTGGTGCTCTTTACTGTACTTTGGATTTTTTTTTTTTTGGCAAGAAAATCCAGTTATGTTCTTACCATAGTTCAGAGCTTCTGGAGCAGTCCACTTGATTGGAATCTGCTTTAGGCCTGATGATGAGTACACGCCATCGTCCTCTTGCCGGGACATCCCAAAATCGCTTATTTTCAAGATGTTGCTTTCACCTACCAAGCAGTTCCTTGCAGCCAGGTCTCTAAATTAGAAAAAAAAATTAAACACCCACATTTTTACAGGTCTGAAAGTATTCAGAAGTCATTTAAACTGACTGAGCCCCTCAGCTAAGATGGTCATGCCTCTCAGTGACTTATTTACAAAAAAGAAACACTTCACAGCAGTTGTGGAGAAACAGAAGTAAGGGAAGGAGGAAAAAAAAGTCAGAAATAATCCTATGAAAAAGTGAGGGGAGGAGATGCTGGAGATGCTTCAAGTGCCTAAGCAGAGAATCTCATGAAGTCCACAGAGAGGAGTCACAGTTGAGCAGGGGAGGAGTGTGAGACTGAAAGACAAGAGCTGACAAGAGTTATGGACAGTTCAGAACGTCCATTCCCCACTCACCCCTCAGGGGAGAAGTGAAGAATTTCAGAATGAAAAAATGCCTCAGAAGAAGGGAAGGGAAAAAAGTATTTCAGTTTTTGTCTTTTATTTCTCACCATCCAACTCTATTTTAATTTGCAATACATTAAATTCATGTTACCTAAGTTCAGTCCGTTTTGCTACGATGGTAATTGGTAGGTGATTTCCTTGCCTTTATCTTGACCTCCAAGTTTTTCTGTCTTATTTTACTTCCCTGTCCTGTTGAGGATGGGGAATGAGAAAGCATCTGTGTGGGTATCTGGCAGCTATGCAAAGTTAATCCACCACAACTGCCCTCCATTTATTCCTCCACAAAAATAAATCCCAGATTAATGAATTGGATCCTATGTAAAACTATTTTGAGTTTGAATTTGAAAAACTATCTCTAATTTGAAGAAGCATCCTGAAATGGGTTCAGGAAGTGTTTCAGTGAGAAAACTGAGAAACAGCTCCATCTTCCCTCTGCCTGTTAAGAGTTTCTATCAAAAGTTAAAAGCTACTCAGCATAGAAAAGATATTTTGGCTCAGTGATGGATGAGAAGCTCAGAAAGTCAACTCCCTCCCTTCACCTCAAATTTGTTTATTTTTTTAGATCAGAAAACATGCAATAATACCTGACAAAAGACCTACTGTGACTTCTCTACTTCTCTAATAATATATTATAGACATACTATATGTATATTAAATTTCAGTGTTTTGCAGTTTATTAAAATACAACAAAATAAATATTATCATTCCCATTGTAATGCAATAAAAAGGGAGAGCTACATCAAGCAAGACGATTAATTCTATACCATTACAAACATCATGGGCAAAATTATTTTTAAATGAAATTTACTGTGGTTCTGCTTACCTAAACAGCTAATATGCTCACAAATGGCTTACATCAATATTCCAGAAAAACTGCATTAACTTTGATGTTTTGAACTGGACCTGTAACATAGTTCTGTAGTGAATCCCCTGAGCACTTAATGCACATTCATTGGTTTTTGAAGAATGAATTTGGTGCATGCAAACTACATTGCTCTTGGAAGAAACTAACTTAGAATTCTGCTCATGGTGTGCATGAAATTTGTTTCTCTAGCTACAGAATTTTCTTTCTATGGAATTTGTTTCTACAGCTAATGCAGAAAGGTCTGAACCAGTGGCAAACAGCTTCCAACATTACCCACGGTAATGACAAACGACTGAACTACATTTAACCCAAACTAAAAGTCAAGAGCCATATTTAAGAATGCTGAAGCTCTTACACCCACTTTAATCAGCTCATCCATATTGATACTGGGCTATGTTATTCAATATGTAGACAGAGCCTAGGTATGATCCTAAATATCATAACTTGATTTAAGAATTTTAACATATTTGACTCATGCAGCTTTTCTGCCACTAAGAACATTAATAGCTCTAGAGCTTGAGTGATAGAAACAAAGTTATTCATGTGGTTTGAGAAGATGGACCACTAAAAAACACATCTGAACTAACAGGTACCAGGTGAAGATGTGCATAAAACAGCTCAGTGTGCACTGTGCTACATAGCTTGATGTTAGCATGTGGTATTGTTATATACTGCTATATTGGTTAAAGCAAGTGAGCTGCAAAACAAAATCAAATTGTCATTGTTTATACTGTTTATATATACTTTATATATATAAGTGTGTAAAAAGTATCACCATGGAACTGCAAGAATTTATGACTTAGGTTCCAATCATACTTCAGTAATTAGTTTTTTTATCGTGTTACTCAATATAGTCTAGATTTTGCAACTGATGCACATAAGGAATGGAAAAAGCAACAAGGTTGTACCTCAAAGAAAATTTACAGTTAACTGAAAGCACAGGCATCTCCTTACCTGAAGTATGACCTAGCATTTAAAAATATTGAGTCAGGTTAAGCAAAATCTATATACTGAACTGTCTTAGGTTTATTCCTCATGCATAAGTCTGCTTATTTGGGAAAGCAGATCATAAATAAGATGCATAGTATGGTGCTTATAAACAAAGACTACACTCAGTTTGCATAATTTTTGTCAGTCTTGTACATAGAATATATGAGTTTTCTTTTTCATCCAAAATCAACTAGAGAAAAAGCTTTTCATCCCTACTGAAAATTGACTAAAACTTCCATGAAAATCACCGGGTATTCGTGGAAGTTCATAAAGACTGTGACACTCTGTTCAGGATATATATAAATTAACACTACAAAGAACAAATTACATGTTTGCATGTTTTGAGTCTCACAGTGTTAATACTTTTTTCCACTTTTAGCTAAAACTCCCCCATTTTTTAATGCTATAATACTGTGTCTTACTTTCAATACATCATTTCTGTTAATAAAGTTTTGTGAGCACTTCATATATTTACTTCTGACATAAGCAAATTTGCCTTCTTCTGTCATCCTGTGTATGATATTCTCTTTCTGTCACTTATTTAGAAAATACTTTAGATGTGATAATTCCATTCATTCAGCATACAAATGTCACAAAGTTATATTGTCTTGTTAGTATTTCTACTGTCATTTTACATCTATCTCATATCCTCAGTGATTTGTTGCTTAATTTTACGGATAATTTTTTCTATGTATTTTGCATGCTTAAAAGCATTTTTTAAACAGTTACACTGAAAGCTATGGGTACCTCAAGATTTTGGTGGCTTTTTTACTATTATTCTGAGGGTTTGCTTAAGATTTTTCAGTATTTTCAAATAAATTCTTCACTGTTCCTCATTATATCTGACAGCGTCCTTTAAAAGGATGTTATTTTTCAGTCTAGACATAACAGAAAAACACAGAAGATGCTTTCAGTCAATATGATTTATTACTGAAGTTATAGCCAGAATCTGGAAAAAAAAATGGCATCAGCAACTATTATTCCCATTGCTTTAAAACAATAAATTATGACATTAATTTTCTTCCAGTTTCAATAATTATAACTAATTTCTATTTTCTACAGATAGGAGTTCTAGTATAATAATCTTAAGGGGTTTATAAAGACCCTTTACTTCTTAACCTTCCGTAAGAAATCCACAGTGGAGTTTCACTCCATATGTTAAGAGAAACAACATGAGTTAGGGGAAATATGAAAATATAAATATAGAGGTCTGATGACCAAAATTAACTATGAGAAGTCATCATCAGTGTTAAGTATTTACAGTGAATGACTCTTTCTACATGGACATTAAAAAACCAAACCAAATCAAACAAGTAAACAACAAATCCCCAATAAAACAACAACAAACCCCCCCACACCATCCCCCCGAAACAAAAAACTCCACTAAAATCAACTACATCTATTTGTCTTCTTTCCCCTGAAAAACCTGTGTGTTTATTTCTTTCTCTTCCTCCTCCCTAATGTTCTCTAAAGCCAACATCCTGAAGAAATACAGAGATAATTGCATAAAATTACGTGTCTCTGTTTAGGATTTTTTTTTCCTTATAAAGCATTTCCTACTTAAAGCAGTAATTTCATATTATCAGTATTTATCTTTAACACAGAAAGCAAGAAAATATTCTTTATTTACATTGTGAAAGCTCTACAAATTGGCCACACATTACACTGAGCTGCTACAGAGTAAATTCCTTAGTAAAAGAGAAGCTGACTTTCACTATATAATACCAAGATTATGTAAATTCTTAGTACTGCTAGAAACAAAGTTTCTTCCCCCCAGCTACTAACAAGTAAAAACTAGTATGTGATTTGGAAATTTCCTTTGTAAGCACTGCTCTGCAATCCCTGTAAATACAAACAGGACATCTAGGGATTTCAAACATGGGTCCAATCTGTTGAAACTGTAAGAGAGAGGTCATAGGACTTTTGCTAAAAATTCAACAGCCAGTTCAGGGAGGAAGAAGAGGCAATTTCTCTATGCTGGGAGTTGTTACCACCTGGATTCACATCTGTCAGTAAAGACATAAACCTACTAAAGCTTTCCCTAAGGACATTGTTACACTCCCTTCCCACTTCCCCTCCACACCCCACAGGATCTACAGAGTAAGTGCTACCTAGCATTGCAATGGAATTCCATGAGTTAAAGCACATCAAAACTAGAGAGCAAACTCCTCATTACTAAACCAGCAGCACAGACTGCCTCACTGAACTAATTAGCCATTTTATATTCAATCACTGGATCCTGCAGTTAAAATACTCTAAGGTGATAAAAGCAAGTAATTAATTAGTGAACAGGATTGGTTTATCTCCCCTGCACATGAAATTCAATGAAAACAGTCTATTACCTAAACACAAAAAAAGGGGTGGGAAGTGAAACTACAAGACAAATTGCTGGGTTTTTTGTGAACTCTAAGATACTACCTCACCTTCATACACCTGATGTAATTTCCAATAATGTCTAAATCAAAATACAGTAGTGCCTAAATCTATTTCAGAACTTTCTTGATATGTGTATGCTACTTTTGCTGTATATGGAGGCTACAACAAATAACATGTGCCTAGTAACAGACTGGGAAAATATTAGAGGGTTAGAAGAACATCCTTTCATGCATTCAGTGTTTTCTTCCCCCTTTTAACTTTGATTTAATTATTTCTTTACATTATTTTAGCTACTATGAAAATATTAGAGCCACATTAACTACAATGCTAATAACTGCTCTCAGCTCCTCATATATAAT